CGCGCGCAGCCGGGCCGAGCCGCGCGCGGGCCTGGCGACGCCCGTACGGGTCGCGCGCGGGCTTGGCGCAGCCCGTACGGGTGGTGCGCGGGCCTGGCGCAGCCCGTACAGGCCGCAGACGGGTCGGGCGCGGCCCGTACGTGCCGCGCGCAGGCCACGACGGGCGACGGGGGGCGACGAACGGGTCCCCGTCGCCCGTCGCGGCGCCGCCCAAGGGCGACGTGCCGGTCGACGGGGCAGAAGCCCGCCGCGCGCCTCGGGGCGCACAGCGGGCAGAGAACCGCCGCGCGCCTCGGGGCGCTTGGCGGGCAGAAAACCGCCGTGCGCCTCGGGGCGCACGGCGGGAAGAAAAATGCCGCACGCCCCGGGGCGTGGGGCTCAGAGGGTAGTTGCAGTAGTAGCAGCGGAAGCGAGAAGGTGGTAAGCCCACCCACAGGATCGATCCAAGGGGATCGACCTGCTCTTATACCATGTTGAACAAGGAATGGAGAAAGAGAGGGTTCACTAGCAAGCAGTTGGATACAAAAAGCAAACCCTAACTGGGTTGTACTCGCTATGGAGCACCCCACTGCAGGCTAGACAAGATAACATTCTGACACCCTAGTGGGAACGATTCCTTGGGCCCACCACCACGAAATTTTATTCCTGCCTGGAGCGCGCTTCGCTCCGGCCCGAGTCGCGCCCCGTGTGCTCTCCCTACCGTCGCGCCCTCGCTAGGCCCCTCACGACCCCGTCGCGTCGCCCTTAGCGGCCCTCTCACGGCTCCCTAGCGCCGCCCTTACGGCCCGTCGCGCCGCCCTTACGGCCCGTCACGCCCGTCGCGCCGCCCTTACGGCCCCTCGTGCCGCCCTTATGGCTCCTAACGCCGCCCTTACGGCCCAGCGAGCCGCCCCTTACGGCCCCTTATGGCCCCTCACGCTACCCTTACGGGCCCTCCCGCGGCCCCTTCGGCCCCTCCTGCCGCCTGTCGGCCCCTTACGGCCCCCTCGAGGCCCCTCGAGCCGCCTTCCGCGGCCTCCTCACGGCCCGTCGCCGCCCTCGGCGGCCCCTCGTGGCGCCCTTCACGGCCTCTCCGCCGCCCTTCGCGGCCCCTAGCGGTCGGCCGCCGCCGTCCTTGAGGCAGACCGCCACCGTCTCTGCAGCAACAGTCGCCACAACTCCTGCGACTGCTGCCGCGGTCGTCACCAGCCACACCAGCCGCCGAGCCGCCCAGCAGCCGAGCAGCCGAGCCGCCGAGCCGCCCACCAGCCGAGCCGCCGAGCCACCGAGCCGCCGAGCCGCCCAGCAGCCGAGCCGCCGAGCCGGCCAGCAGCCGACCGCCGAGCCGCCCGAGCCGCCGAGTCGCCGAGCCGCCCGAGCCGCCCGAGCCGCCGAGTCGCCCAAGCCGCCCGAGCCGCCGAGCCCCCCGAGCCGCCGAGTCGCCGAGCCGCAGTTGCTGCCGAGCCGCCGTACTGCCGAGCCGCCGAGCCGCCCTAGCCGCCCTATCCGGTAAGAGCAGCGCCTCTATCACTGCACTGCCTTTACTCTACTGTTCGCGCTGCTAGTCTACTGCTGTCATGGCTACCCCTAGTGTCCTCGCCTTTGACGCTGAGGGTCTAGCCATTGACTTTGACGTCTGGGTAGATGACCTGCAGCTTTTCTTACAGTGCGATAGGGCAGACGGTCTCTCCCTCTTTGACCTCACCTCTGGTGCCTCTCCTGCCCCTGCTGCTGATGCTGACGCCACTGCTCGCTCACAGTGGGCCACACGCGATGTTGCTGCACGTCTTGCTGTGCGTCGCCACCTGCCTACCTTTGAGCGTGCGCACTTTAGTCAGTACAAGAGTGCTCAGACCTTGTACGACGCTGTAGTTGCATGCTACTCCTCCCTTGCCACTGCTGCACTGAGCCGCCTCATGCTACCGTACCTCTTCCCTGATCTTGCTGCATTTCCCATAGTCGCTGACCTCATTACGCACCTCCGCACTAGTGACACTCGCTACCGCGCTGCGCTCCCTGCTGAGTTCTGCGCCAAGAACCCCCCCCCACATGTACATCACCCTCTACTACATAGTCACCCGGCTCCCTGACTCCCTTCGCATAGTCAGGGACCACTTCCTCTCAGTTTGCCCCACCACTCTCACCGTTGACCTCCTCGAGAAGGCCCTCCTAGCAGCAGAGAAGAGCATAGTCGCTGTACGAGCCTCTCGTGGTGACCCTCGCACCCCCATCTTTGAGGGGTGTTCCCCCTCCCCCCTTTTGCCCTCTGTTGCCTCTGCTGCTGCGGCCGACCTCGTTGGTCTTGAGTCGGTCGGCGCGGCGTCTACCCCTAGCGAGAGACGCCGCCCTGGCAAGGGCAAGTAGGGCAGGGGCGCTGGAGGAGCTAGCGGGGGCGGTGGAGGCGGCGGTGGAGGCGGCGGAAGGGGGTGGGGGTGGCGGTGGGGGTGGTGGCGGGGGTGGAAGTGTCGGTGGCGGCAGTGGAGGCGGAGGCGGCGGCGGCGGTGGCGGTGGGAGCGGAGGTGGCGGAGGTGGCGGCGGTGGAGGAGGCGGTGGCGGAGGAGGTGGAGCTGGTCGGGGTGGCGTTGCGCAGAGGGTCGGCTCCGGTGGTGGTCAGCGCCAGCTGCAGCAGCAGCAGCAGCAGCGCACTCGTGACATCCCCCCCCTCAGCAGCTCCATAAGTGGTACGCTGCATGCCAGCGGGGTGGGGGTACTGGTCCGTGCACCTACGTCCTACGCACCGGCGACCGCGCGGGTGAGCAGTGCCGGGGTGCGCACTCCACCCAGCGCTGCTTTGGCCGCATGACGGACGCTTGGCGTCACCAGTTCCCCGAGGCCGCTGAGATCCCCCGCTGGAGTGAGGTGTCTAGGGCGAAAGTAGCTGTCTTTGACCTTGACTTTGATGCTATTCTTGCTGCCATGTATGCTATGACTATTAGTGATGAGGGTGACTGTTACCGGTGTTTTCCGCCCGACCCGGGCATTGAGACTGCTGCTCTAGGTACTGGTGAGGCTGCTGCTCTAAGTGCTAGCGAGGCTGCTGCTCTAGGTGCTCGTGCGTCTGCTCCCTCAGGTGCTGGTGAGTCTGCTCTCTAAGGTACTGCGCCGGCTTCGGCCTCCCACACCTTCACCCTTGACTCGAGGGCTTCCCGCTCCTTCTTTCGAGACCGCACCATACTCACGCCGCTTGGCCGGCCAGTTGCAGTCTCTCTGGCAGACCCCTCTGGGGGTCATGTCCTTGCTCACTTCTCCACTGTCCTCCCATGTCCGGCGGCCCCCTCTGGCACCCTGTCTGGCCTTTACCTCCCCTCGTTCTCTACGAACTCGGTGAGCGGTGCTGACCTACAGGATGCGGGGGTTGGAGCTGCTGAGGGTGTTGGCGCTGAGGCTACTGCTGTCGGTCCTGGAGGCGGTCCTGCTGGGGGTGCTACTGGTGCTGCTGGAGGTACTGGAGCTGGAGGTGCTGCTGGCGCTGGTGCTGCCGCTGGGGGTCCTGGTGCTGTCCCTGCTGTGTCTGGAGTCGCCGCGCGGCCTCGGCCGTACTTCGTTCCGCTCCTTCAGCAGTTTCTTGGTCTCCCGCCTTCTACTGGTCCTCCTCGTCCCTTAGAGTGTCCACAGCCTGTCCCGTCACAGTTACAGTTCCAGCCGGCTTCCTCACTGCCTGCTCCTTCTCCCTACACTGGTCCTACTGGAGGTCTTGCTGAGCGTCGTGAGCCTGCGTCTCGCCCTGCGTCACCTGTCCGTGCTGCTCACACTAGTGGTCGTGGTTCGCGTCAGCGTCCTCCGCCTGTCCCTGGCACGCACCGGATGTCTCTGCGTCTGTCCACTGCTCCTCTGCGTGTCCCTTTGCCTTCTCCTCCTGAGTCCTCTCTTCCTGCTCTTCCCGACCCGGAGTCGGACACTCTTCGTGCTGCCAGTCCTTCTGTCACGCGTCTCCTTGCTACTGTCGTCACTCACCCTTCCTTTGAGTCCACTGCTGCGTCTGCCCTAGTTGCTGAGCTGGTCGACTTTGCTGCTCGCTGTCGTCTAGACTACGCTGCTAGTCTTGTCGCAGAGTCTGAGTCTATCTGTCCTCCGTCCGTCGGGGGTGAGTGTGCCCTTGGCACGGACGTCCTTGAGGACAGGCAGGAGGAGTTTTAGTGTTTGGCTGCTGCTTCACCTCATCTCGTGTCCGTACTGCTTACCCCTGAGGGAGACCCGGATGCACTTGACATCCCGACTCCGCGCTCTTATGCGGAGGCGATAGAGGGTCCCTACTCCTCTCAGTGGCAGGCAGCAATGGACACAGAGATGGCTTATGGACACAGAGCAATGGACGAAAATATATGAATTTTAGGCGCTGGTCATCTTATTGTGAGTCGAGTTGACTGCAGAAATGACGAGGGCTGATTCTGCAGGTCGCGTTATTCTCCCTTAGTCAAAATTCGCGTCTGATCTCGGCTGTTGAGAAGAAATTCGATCCGACGCTCCAAATTCCAACTTTTTTGGGCGCAATTCTCGAGGCCGTTGAGATTCGAATCGATCCGACGGTCGAAATTCCAACTTTTTCGCCACTGGACCTAAGGAGTGCTCGAAAACCGGTTCGAGGGGGACGTTAGAAAATAGCGCGGAACTGGTTTACGTACCCGAAATCGACGCTTTCCGTCTTCGCCCCTGCGGTTTTAAAAGCTAGGTTTAAGCGGTCGATAAACTTCGCTTGCAAACAGGCTCTGATTACCAAGTGTGAGGATCTAGGATCGAGCTCAGAAAAGAGAATTGTAATTGAATTGAAATGAATGATCACCTGGGTTCAACACGAGGCTATATATAGGCTCGACGCAAGGCCCCGTAACCAGGTGTTACGCGAAGGTTCCGCGGGCCGCGAAGCGTCCCGAACAGATCCTTACCGAATTCGGTAGAAGGCAATTCGGTGGCAACCGAAAAGCCGGAATTCGGTGCACGCAACCTAGCTCGGTGCTATAACTATAATATAATATAGGAAAGCACCTAGCCTAGGAAATCAAGCAATTCATGCATGCATATGATTATCCTATGCTAGAAATAGCATAATAAAGTAAGGCAAGCAAGCATAGCTGGCATAAGCCGTCGTACTCTCACAGGTGCGGTCTCGAAAGAAGGAGCGGGAAGCACCCGAGTCAAGGGTGAAGGTGTGTAAGGCCTGAGCCGACGTGGTACCTGAGAGAGCAGACTCACCAGCACCTGGGGCAGCAGACGCACTAGCACCTAGAGCAGCAGTCTCACCAGCACCTAGAGCAGCAGCCTCAATGCCCAGGTCTGGCGGAACACACAGGTAACAGTCACCCTCATCACTAGTAGACACTGCATACATGGCAGCAAGAATAGCATCATAATCAAGATAAAAGATAGCAAACCCCGACCTTTGCAGCTCTCCCCAGCGAGGGATCTCAGTGGCGTCAGGGAACTAGAGACGCCAGGCGTCCGTCAGGCGGCCGAAGCAGCGCTGGGTGGGGTGCGGGCCCCCGCACTGCTCACCCATACGGTCGCCGGTACGCAGGACGTAGGTGCAGGGACCAGTACCCCAACCGCGCTGACGCGAAGCGTACCACTCACGAAGCTGCTGGGGGGGCGGGGTCTCACGAGTGCGCTGCTGCTGCTGGCGCTGACCACCACCGAAGCCGCCCCGCTGCGCAAAGCCACCCAGACTAGCTCCACCTCCTCCGCCGCCACCTCCGCCACCACCGCCACCGCCTCCTCCTCCGCTCCCACCGCCACCGCCGCCGCCGCCTCCGCCGCCACCGCCACCACTGAAGCCCCCACCCCCGCCACCATTCCCACCACCACCCCCACTCCCTCCGCCTCCTCCACCGCCACCTCCACCGCCCCCGCCAGCCCCTCCAGCGCCCTTGCCCCCCTTGCCCTTGCCGGTGCGGCGTCGCTCGCTAGGGGCAGACGCAGCGCCGACCGACTCGGTGCCAACGAAGTCGACGGCAGCAGCAGAGGCAATAGAGGGCAAAAGGGGGGAGGGGGAGCACCCCTCAAAGACGGGGGCAAGAGGATCACCACGAGAGGCTCCTACAACGACTATACTCTTCTCTGCTGCCAGGAGGCGCTCCTCGAGGAGGTCAACGGTGAGTGTGGTGGGGCAAACAGAGAGGAAGTGGTCCCTGACCGAGCGAAGGGAGTCAGGGAGCCGGGTGACTATGTAGTAGAGGGTGATGTACATTGGTGGGGGGGGGGGGGGGTTCTTGGCGCAGAACTCAGCAGGAAGCGCAGCGCGGTAGCGGGTGTCACTAGTGCGAAGGTGCGTAACGAGGTCAGCGAAAGTGGGAAAGGCGGCGAGGTCAGGAAACAGGTACGACAGCATGAGGCGGCTAAGGGCAGCAGTGGCAGGGGAAGAGTAGCGTGCAACTACAGCATCGTACAAGGTCTTAGCACTCTTGTACTGACTAAAGTGCGCGCGCTCAGTAGACGGCAAGTGACTACGCACTGTTGGTGCAACCCTACGGTTTGCACTCGGCTTGTTGTCCGTGTGCGTGCATGCGTGTGTGCATGGAATGGAATGAGTGCATGAAATAAATATATATTTCATGCTTATAATAGTGTGTGAATGATGGGTCATGATGTCAAGTGTGTGTTTCAAGTCGATAGCGAATTATCGCTAGTCGCGTGTAACGTGGTCGTTTTGTGTGTCCCGCGTGGTTTCTATTTTGTCGTGCGCGGTTTCTATTTTGTCGCTTGTCGAACGTTCGGCGTGTCGCAGGTGTGTGCAGCAGACCCATTAAGAACTCAAGGATGAGTTTGTGATGAAGAACCCGAGCCCTGGTGTCAACATTCAAGTAATCGCGAAGCCCGCGGAAAAAGGGTACACCCCAAGATATTGAAGATAGTTACATTACTTTGTGTAGTGTAACATTTCACTTTGTGTAGGCCCTAGTGAAGGGTAGTTTCGAGACCCTTCATGGTTGGGGACAGTGTGGCACTGTTCCACATCACTGTACCTCGGCTCTTGGGGTTTGTAGGAGCTGGGAGTAATTCCCAACTCGTAACTCTTCCTAACTCTTCCTATCTTGTGTTCTAAGACTATGTTGCTGCCATAGTGCCATTCGTTCAAACCGAAGCTGTGTCGTCAGTTCTTAATGAAAGCGTGCGATTTAAATTACCTATTGTATGCAACGTTAAGGCGTTCCAGATCCAAGTTGAATGAAGTCATTTGAAGTTGTGACCAGATCGCTATGAACGTTTGAAGCCGCTGTGCAGAAATCCGACTATGCACTCTATCTTTCGTTTTAGGCACATTGAAGCCTACTGTGACTATAACAAGTGGTATCAGAGCCAATTGGAGCAGTTTCAACAATGGCTGGACCTGAGGAAAGGGGTGGCAGAGGTGCTGGTGGCAGTGGAGAAGCCCAAGCTCAAGGCCAGCCCCGTGACTCAGCCATGGCGCCCGTGCAACCAAGTGTTGGCCCATCTAGGGACGAGCCTAGAGTGTTTGGCCTTGACAAGTTCAACGATGACAACTTTGCTGAGTGGTCCTTCAGAATGGAGAACATGTTTGATCACTATGACCTGCTGGAGGTGATGGAAGGAACGGAGAAGCGCCCCGAGAACGACCCGGAGAAGAGCCCGTGGGTGGGGAAGAGCGCACAAGGCTACCTCCTACTAGGGCAAGCGTTGGGGAGCAGACAGATCCGTCACATCAAGCCTTTCCAGCGTGAACCAGAGAAGGGACCAAAGGCATGGGCTGCTCTCAAGGGTGTACACGCTCCTGCAACAGCGGCGGTAGCTGTGGTCTTGGAACGGCAAATGGCGACACTACGAATTGAAGAGGATGAAGCGGTTGAAGAAGGGGTGCAGAAATTCTTCGACTTGTTGACGCGGCTTGAGGGAGCTGATTTGAACTATAGTGAGCTCCAAAAGAAGACCAAGCTGCTGGCCCTACTCCCTGAGTCATGGTCCTCGCTCATCATCAACCTGAATCGCGACTTGCCCCGCCTCTCGCTTGAAGACGTGAAGCGAGCTATCCTTCAAGAGGATTTCCGCCGCCGTGAGTTGGCGAGTGCGGATGGCGCTGGGGCAGCGAGCATCGGCCGTAGATATGGCCGTGGAAGAGGCAGGGGACGAGGGGGAGGAAGGTTTGGTGGCAGCAACTTCAGTGGAGGCCGCGGGAGTGGCAGCGACGGCAAGAGCTACGGTCGCGGTCGCGGCCGATTTGACGGTGAATGTCACTATTGCCACAAGACCGGGCACATGTGGCACGATTGCTTCAAACTCCCTGAAGGATGGACCCCTGCTCAAGGCCAGGAGGGTAGAGGAGCAGGAGGAGGGAGAGGAAGAGGCCGTGGAGGCCGTGGCGGTCGCGGTGGCGGAGCTGCAAACATGAAGAGCGGAGACAACGACAAGGACCCGAGCAACGATCGGTACCCGGGTCTATTCTACTTCGTGTCGACGCAAGTACCAGCTGGTCCAGAAAGGCATGAAGGCTTTGAGGAGCCAGCAGCTGTGGGGAAGGTGACCCTACACCCCCTGGACTATTGGGTGATCGATAGTGGCGCTACCTATAGCATGACACCTCGCCCGGACTTGCTCACGGAACTCGAACCGTCACCGGTGAAGCATGTCACATCGGCTTTGGGGCAGCGAGCGGAGGTGAAAGGCATGGGCAAGGCCATGTTCAATGGTTGGGAAGATGGTGGGCCTCAAGAACGTGCTTTGGGTGCCCAGCCTTGCTGCGAACCTGATCTCCGTGCGGCGGTTGGCAAAGGCCGGCATGGACACGAACTCGAAGGGAGCCAAGACCTACACCGCAAGGCTTGGCGATCGAATTATTTGAGACCTTCATGAGGACAGGGATGTCTACAACGAGATGTGGCAGATCCCATTGGTCCCTATGCCTAAGGAGAGGCAAGTGGCAGCAAGCATCAGCACCAAGGATGGAGCGGTTGGTAGCGACGATGGCGCGAACGGTCGCGCTAAGGAGAATGAGCTCATGAAGAGCAAACCTGGAGGGACCAGCAAGTTCAATGAACCTAAGGAGAGTGGTGCAGCAACCAAGGAGCAGCGAAAGGGTGAGGAGAACCCCGAGGCAGCAGCGAAGGAGGACTACGGAGAGAGTATGTGGGGCGCTATTGTGAGCGCGGCATTCTCCAATCCAACTTCGGCTACGGGGGAGTGTGATTGGCTCACCTTGCATCGGCGCATGGGGCATGTGGCCCTGCCCATCTTGCAGCAGCTAGTGAAGAAAGAGATGGTTGCTGGCATACGTGTGAAGGGGGAGCCCAATGAGGTACTTGGCTGCCCGACGTGCATGCAAGCCAAGTTCACCCGATTCCCGTTCTCTAGTTCGGAGGCGACGGCCAAGGCACCGCTTGATGAGGTGGTGATGGACGTGGTGGGCCCCTTGAAGCTTGGAGCTGCTGGAGCTGAGTATTTTCTCACCATTGTCGACGTCTACACCCGCATGACTTGGGTGTACGTGCTGACCAAGAAGAGCAACGTGGCTGAAACGTTGAAGGCGGATTGGTTCCCGATGGTGGAGCGGCAACAAGACCGTCTAGTCAAGTCAATCTGCACCGATCGAGGGGGAGAGTTCTTGAGTAAGGAGTTTCGGTTGTGGCTGAAGAAGAATGGTATTCGGCACTCCCTCACCATGCCATACTCCCCTGCAATGAACGGCATCGCCGAGCGAGCGAATCGGACGATTACGGAGGCGGCACGCGGGTTGCTCATTGAAGCCGGGCTACCCGACTATTTCTGGCCTGATGCGGTGCGGAGCGCGTGTGTGGCCAAGAACAGAGTTTTGACTCATGTGGGAGCAGACAAATGGGTGCCCTATGTGGAGTGGCTTGGAAGAAAGCCAAAGGTGGATATGCTTCGGGTGTTCGGGTGCATGTGCACGACGCTCGTGCCTAAGCATCTTCGGCACAACAAGCTTGGTGCCAAGGCGATATGGGCTGTGCACTTGGGCATGGCTCAAAACAGCAAAGGGTGGCTTCTTTGGGACCCATTCACCAAGAAGTTCATGGTGAGCAGGGACTGCAAGTTCATGGAGAACTTCATGTACAAGGATTGGAAGGCGGAGAATGAGGCGAAGATAGGCGTGCGGTTTGGAGAGGTGAAGAGTTCCGGCTTGGAGCACGCGGAGCTGCCTTTGGAGTTGAGCAGCGGCAGCACCACCACCAGGCAATCTTCCCTTGTGAATGGGGGAGAGGAGGCCAAGGATGCAGAGGAAGAAGAGGAGGAGGTGCAGCAAGTGAGCGAGCGTGCACCGACACTTCCTTCCCGCACTACGAGCGCTCCACGGATCCGAGCCACACCGCAGCAACGCCAAGGCCTTCAAGTCCCTGCAGCTGAGGAGGAAGGAAGGGGGAAGAGGAGAGTTCAACCCCCTAATAGGCTGACCTATGATGCACTGGGAAAGCAGGGCAAGACAGCCCTGGCCGGAGCGGCAATGATGGTCGGAGACGACGAGGAGAGTGGCTACGAGGAGTGTGCCTTCGCGTTCTTCTCTCCGGTGGAGATGCCGGGAGAACCAGCAACTCTCAAGGAGGCTTTGGAGAGTAATGATGCTGAGGAGTGGAAGAAGGCCATGGAGAGTGAGCTGAAGAGCATCGAGGAGAATGACACGTTTGAATTGGTGGAGCTACCGGAGGGGCGTACGGCGATAACGTCCAAGTGGCTCTTCAAAATCAAGTCGGATGCCGACGGCAAGATCGAGCGCTACAAGTCTAGGCTTGTAGCCAAGGGGTACCAGCAGAAGGAGAAGGTGGACTTCAAGGAACTGTTTGCTCCTGTGGTGAAGCCAACAACGCTGCGAACCCTATTCGCGGGAGCCGCCATCAAAGGATGGGTAGTAAAACAAATGGACATCGTAACGGCATTCCTTAACGACATCCTTGAGGAGGAGATTTTTATGGCGCAGCCAGAGGGGTTTGACGATGGTAGTGGCAGAGTGTGGAAGCTGAAGAAGGCCCTCTATGGGCTGAAGCAGGCCCCTAGGCAATGGTATATGAAGCTGCGCGAAGTGTTGGAGGGGATCGGCTTCACTCCCTCAACGGCCGATCACTCCTTGTTCATGCTTGGCGAGGGGGAGCAGAGGAGCTTCATGGTGGTGTACGTGGACGACATCTTGATCTTCTCACCCTCTTGTTACCTTGTGAAGGAGGTGATGCTGAAGCTGCAAGAAAAGTTCAAGTGCAAGTCCCTTGGTGACGTGAACTTCTACCTTGGGCTCCACATCGAACGAGACGTGGAGAAGCGGAGCATGCGAGTGCACCAACGGAAGTACCTGGAGGCGTTGGCCGCAAACTTCGGCCAGAGTGAAGGTCATGTGGCTACTCCCTTTCCCTCTGGGTTCAAGTGTGTGAA